CGGGCCTCGATCCCGGCCCGGCCCGCTCGCGTCGTCGGCCGCCGCGTCTCCTTCACGGCCCTTCCTCTCCGCCTCCCGCTGCCAGGATCCCCGATGGATGGAGCTCTCTGGGGCGCGTCGGCCCTTCCGAGACGCTGAGCCTGACCTTCGCTCTCCGCCAGCAGAACGTGGCCCGCTTGGCGGCTCTGGTGCAGGAGGTCTCCTCCCCGGACTCGCCCGCCTACGGTAAGGCCCCCCCCATTCACGCACACACCCCGCCCCACCCGCAAAAAGTGCCCAGCACAGCCTGAGCGCAGCGGCTTCTCCTCGCCTCTCCTCTGCTGACCGCCTGCCTGACCGCCTGCCTGCCTGCCTGCCTGCCTGCTGACCGGCCCCTCTCTTCTAGGGAAGTTCCTCTCCCTGGCTGAGGTGCGGGCGCTGGTCTCGCCCTCCCCTCGGACCATGGACGCTGTGCACAAGTGGCTGGAGGCTCATGGGGTCCGAGACTGCAGGGGGGTGAGCACCGGGGACTTCTTGCTGTGCCTCATGCCAGCCAGGTGAGTTGGGAAAGGGGTGCGGGAGGGTGTGTCTGTGTGTGTGTGTGTATGCGTGTGCTGTGGCAAAGCATCCCTTTGGGGTCTGTTTTGCAGGACAGAAGGCTGCCCTCCCCTCTCCCCACTCCCCCCCCAGCTGCTCACTTCTCTTCTTCATGCAGCACAGCAGAAGGCTTGCTTCCAGGAGCCCAGTTCCATTGGTATGCAAAGGGTGATCGCCGGGTCATCCGGTCCCCACAAGCCTATGCCTTAAGCCAGGAGATGGCAGAACACCTGGATTTCGGTAGGAAAGGCTTGTGAAGCAGGGGCAGGGGCAGGGGCGGGGCATGATGGGGGAGAGCATGCCCTTCCTGCAAGCCCCTCCCCCAGGTCTCAACCCCCCCCCATTCCAGTCTGCCAGCACCCTTCTTGTTAGGACGGTCCATCTGTGCGATGCCCCATAGGCAAGCTGGGTGTGGGGATGTGCTGGGTGGGGGTTCAGATCTGAGCCCCTTCCCAAAGTACAGAGAGATTGAGCTGATGGTGGCCAAGAGGGCGGCAGCCCCTTGATGTAAACTGAGGAAAGTCTGCTTTAGATGCTCCCGTCCTGTTCTCATGTCAAAAGAATCCCAGCGCCTCTTCTCCGTCTCTCTGCATTTTCAGTGGGGGGTCTTCACCGCTTTCCTTCTGAGCCGACAGCTGTGAATCGGGCCTGGGCCACAGAGAAGAGGCTGCAGGCCAACTTCCACCTCGGCGTGACGCCGGCTGTAATCCGGAAACGTTACAACCTGACCGATGGGGACGTGGGTTTTTCCCCCAATAGCAGCCAAGCCTGTGCCCAGGTAACGCTGAGCACGACACTGCCGTCCCCCAGCCCACCTAGAGTACCAAAAGGAAGCTCAGCCTTCACATGCTGGGGGGGGGGGGGAACAGAGTCCGCCTGGGTGCAGTTCCTAAGATCTGTGCTGTGTGGACAGCATGTCTTTCCTCTCACGGCGGAGGAGTTTCAGCCTTGGGCTGGGGAACCCAGGGCCCATACAGCTGAGCCTCTCTCCCTGTCCAGAAAGTGGCAGGGAGGAAGAGAAGCCCAGTGTGTCTGTGTGTGTGTGTGGGGGGGAGTGGAAGCTGCAAGCTGGAGGTAAGACACACCTCTACATGTTATTGTGTCGAAGAGGGCAAGGCCTTCTTAAAAGCAAAAGCCGTCTAAGCTTAGGATGCAACCTGCGGTCCCTTTCTCTCCTTGTGGTCCTTCGGAGAACAGCAGGGAGTGCGAATAAGGGTTTGTGAAGCAAACTCCATCTCTGGTTCTGTGAGGGCTTGTCTTCTGCCTTAGTTCCTGGAGCAGTACTTCCACCAGGCTGACCTTGCTGAGTTCATGCAGCTGTTTGGAAAAGACTTCCCACACCGCTCCAGTGTGGATCAGGTGGTGGGTCACCAAGGCCACGGCAAGGCTGGTCTGGAGGCTAGCCTGGATGTGGAGTACCTCATGAGTACAGGTGCCAACATCTCCACCTGGGTCTTCAGCAATGCAGGTACTTGGATGCTTGACCCCCCCCCTCCTGGCCTGGAAGGGCAAGTCCATCGCCTTCTCTCCCCCTGCCGGGTCTACAGCAGGCCGAGCAGGCTGGCCCTGGCGGTCTCGGGAAGCCCATCCCACCCCAAGCCCGGAGAGCCCGTGGGGCCCCATCTGGGAAGGGAGGGAGGGTCCTGGGTCCTTTTGTGTCCTGGGCTCTCATGCCCTCTGCTTCTCCCGCCAGGCAGGCACGAGAGCCAGGAGCCCTTTCTCGACTGGCTCTTGGTGCTCAGCAACCTGTCGGCGCTGCCGTGGGTGCACTCGGTAAGCTATGGCGATGACGAGGACAGCCTTTCTCGAGCCTACATGGAGCGTGTGAACGTCGAGTTCCAGAAGGCAGCTGTCCGTGGGATCAGCATTCTCTTTGCCTCAGGTAGAGCGGGAGGGCCAGAGGCCAGGCGCCCGTCCTGTGCCAGCCCTGTTGAGCTGCCAGCCTTTGAGGTGCCTCCCACCACTCTTAAGAATGGGAGTCCCTCCGAGAGATGGGGGAGAGCGGCACGCGAGGAGGTGTTAGGGCTTCAGGCAGCAGGCCTGAGTGTGACTACATGTACGTGTGTGTGTGTGTGTGTGTTCATGCATTTTTGTGCACTGAGCCCCTGTAAAAGGACATAGGTAAAGGTAAAGGTTCCCCTTGACATTGAGTCCAGTCGTGTCCGACTCTAGGGCATGGTGCTTATCCCCGTCTCTAAGCCGTAGGGCCAGCATTTGTCCAAAGACAGTGTCCGAGGTCACGTGGCGAGCGCGACTAGACACAGAACACCGTTACCTTCCCACCCAGGTGGTACCTATTTATTTACTAGCATTTTTACATGCTTTCAAATGGCTCGGTTGGTGGGAGCGGGGACAAGTGACGGGAGCTCCCTCCGTCGCATGGATTCGATCTTACAACTGCTGGTCTTCTGACCCTGCAGCCCAGAGGCTTCTGCAGTTTAACCCACAGCGCCACCACAAGGACATGGCTTTGCCCAAAGAGGCCTGCCAGCTCTGAGAGGCCTTAAGGCTTACCTAACTCTACTTTGCCCTCACGTGCTTAAGCCCTGGGTGTCATTGACACGTTTAGTTGGTCACAGTCCCTAAAAATCAGGTGTGAGACCTTCTCTGCAGTGGCGGCACCATGTACTGAGCTTACACCCCCCCCACACACACACACCAGGATAGTAGCCTAACCCACCTCCCCTGGCCAAGGCAGAAGTCTCTATGCTGCTGGGGGGTGGGGGGTGGGGGACTGATGGAGGCAGAGGGAAGCAAGCAGCAGGTTTCAGAGGGGGTGACCTTCCCCCTGCTTGGTGACCGTGATGTGAGATGGTGGTTAGAGGCTGAGCGAGAGCGAGAGCGGCTGAAACTATTTACTGGGTTGCCACGGTCTTCAGAGAAGTTGTAGCCATTGCCTCTTTACGTGGGTGTTACAGCCCAAAATAAAAAAAAATAATAATAATAGTTGTGGCACCATTAAGAATAACAGTTTTTTTTGGTTTGTGGGCTGCTTCCTCAGACTTGTGAAATACGATACTTATAGGCACAGCATGCATGGACATGAGCGCTCAGTGAAATAGAATGGCCTTCCTAACACAGGTAAGGGACTTCCAAAGTGTTGGCTAAGCAAACACCCCAGTTGGAGTAAACAGCTGAACAGATTATCTTTCAGCGGCTGGCTAGGTTGTCTTTGGAGCTTTGGTTTTGCCAAAGAAAACAACTTCTTGCTTATTCACAAGACTGTAAATAAAACGGGTGCACATCTATAGGTGTAGTGGCATACATCTGTAACGGCGTTCCATGTCTAGTCATGCCAGCCACGTGGCCACGGAAAGTGTCTACAGATCTTCGGCCCCTAGAGTGGGACGTGACTGGACTTGATTGTCAAGGGGAATCGTTACCTTTACATCTGTAGAGTGGGTTGGGATGCCTGATTGGCAAGTGGCAAACTGGGCCCAGAGCCTGGCCAGAGAAGGGATTGGCACACCCCCTTTCAGTACGTTCTGCATGGAAGGGTTGCCATGGGTCAGGAGTGACTGGGCGCACATAATCGGGACTTTTCAGCCAGAGTAGACCCATTCTGTTCAGCTGCTGAAGGGTAAGTCCGTACATCTGTAGTAGCGATGGGATACCAGCCACAGGGGCTGTCCAGACTGGCCAATTTTGTCTGTTGAGGTCAAGGGTGGTGGTGAAGAGTGATGTGCCAGTTGGCCTGCTCCTACTGTCCAAACAGCAAATGACCCCTTGTGACCTGATCAGCTGTCAGTTAAGAGCTTTCTCGGGTAGCCTGAGCGCTCTTCCATTTTCTCTTCCTTCCTTGCTTCCCTTCCCTCCATCTTCCCCCACTTTTCTTCTCCCTGTCAGAATCTGCAGCTGCTTTATTAGGCTGCGGCCTCACAGCTCAAGAAGCTCAAGAATGAGCATGCCAAAAAGAATGAATATGGCTTGGTGGTGGTGGTGGTGGGGTCCCCTGGCCGGCTGCAGGCACTCCCTGGGCTACCCTTTGCCTGGCCCTGCTTGGAGGATTTATGGGCCAGTGGCCAAAATACACAGTGAACACTCCCAGCATAAAAGCAAGAGAAAAATAGAAGTTTGATGAGCCCCGAAACGAGTGAGGTGGGCTTAAGCAGAGGTCTAACCAGGCAGAAATGTGCAGGGGGGGAGGGGGAGGGGGCTGCATGGCCGTTGAGTGCAGCCATCCATTGACTGACTTTTGCCCTCTGCAGGTGACTCTGGGGCAGGTTGCCGGACCATCGCTAGGGGAAAACACGCCTTCCGACCCAGCTTCCCGGCTTCCAGGTGAAGAGAGGTGGGGGGCGGGCGGGGTGAATACTCTTAGTGTTGGCATACAAAACGTGGTGTGTGTGTGTGTGTGTGTGTGTGTGTGTGTGTGTGTACACATGCAGAGGTGCTTGCGGCAACGGGACCGGGTTTGTGGTTAAACGTTGCACCCAGTGATGATCACTAGACCCGTATCAATTCCAGCCATGGCTGGTGGGGCCCCAGCACAGCCAGACCCCCTCCCTGTTGCTGTGAGAGCTCGTGGCCCGGAGTTTATAGACGTTTGCTCATCCCTTCATTGAATCTGCACGTGGCGATGCTGAGTGCACCAGCTTTGGTAGCAGGGGCTGGGCCTCTGGCTGAGAGCCCCGCTGGAAGCCACTGGCCCTAGTTAAAGAGGGGGAAAGTGTTCCGTGTGGGTGTCCCACGCCCTGCATCCCCTCAGACCGAATGGCGAACTTGACAGGGTTTCCCAGGGAGGTCCTCTACTGAAGGAGTGCCTTTCCCAGCCCTGTCCCCTCATGACGGAGAGGGTTTCAATGGAGACCAGCCTGCCTGCCACACACCAGTTCTTCCCTTGCCAACGCTTAGAAGCCCATACTGGCTGCTGGTGGTGGGAATCCCTGCAGGGAGAGTCTTCTCAAGAGCTGGGGATCGTTTTTGGTCCTTGGCTGCTTGAGGAAATGCCGGCACTACTTCGGACTCAAGAGAGAAACGGTGTAGGGTGTGTGCGTGCGTGTGTGCGTGGAAATTTATGGGCCAGTTGACGAAGCTAAGAGGACGCCCCCTTGCACTGCCCCCCCAGCCCTTACGTGACGACGGTGGGTGGGACCTCGTTCCAGCACCCCTTTCTGGTGAGCGCCGAGGTCGCCGACTACATCAGTGGCGGAGGCTTCAGCAACGTCTTCCCCACGCCGAGCTACCAGGTGAGTCCCAGGCCCGCGAACCAGAGCAGCCCCGGCGCCCTTCGGGCTGCGGCGCTTCCCACCTGCCCTGAGCGCCCTCTGTTGGGAAGGGATGAGCTTAGCCTTGAACACGTCTATGCAGAGGGCAGGTGCTCCCTGCCGGCTGTACCCCTGGCAAGAAGGGGAGAAGGACGAGGGGGAGAGGTGGCCTGGCTCCGGCTGCCAGGGGCTGGGGTGGTGGTGGGAGGGCACTCTGGTGGCAGCGGCGGGATCTCTCGGGCTGGGGTGTGCGTGGACCCAGCCAAGGCAGCAGGCCTTCTGGTGGCCCCAGGAGGTCTGCGGGGCGGGGAGGGGACTTGCGTCCTTGCCTCCCTGCCTTCTGCCAACACCTGGCCCAGGGCCACAGTCTCAGTCACACACACACACACACACACCCTCCTCTCGGTTGCCCCTCTTGGCAGGCAGCTGCGGTGAAGCGCTTCTTGAGCACGGCCCCCAAGCTGCCCCCATCCTCCTACTACAACAGCACCGGGAGGGCTTACCCAGACCTGGCTGCTCTCTCGGACAACTACTGGGTCGTGAGCAACCGCATCCCCTTGCCCTGGGTCTCCGGCACCTCTGTGAGTATTGCCCTTCCGACTGCCCTCTGGCTGCCTTCGTGGGGGGGGGCGTGTGTGTGTGTGCCCTGCCCCGCCCCCTCCTCAGGCCGGGCTGGTACAGACTCCCCACCCTGTGCCTCCCTTTCCTGTGCCAGGCCTCGACTCCGGTAGTGGCCGGACTCCTCGCCCTGATCAACGACCGGCGCCTCCAGCGAGGGCTGCCTCCCTTGGGCTTCCTCAACCCGGCTCTTTATCGCCTCCAGGAGGAGGGGCACCACGCGGCCCTCTACGACGTGAGTGCTGGGCTCGGCTGAGCAGGAAGGGCATCCTCCGCAGCTTTGCCGGCCAGGGCGGGCCGGTTCTGCCAGCATCAACGCCCAGTGTCCTGGTGTGGGGTGGGTGGAGGGGGGAGAGTACGTGTGGGTCAGCCTGGGTTCAGACCCTAATAACGTGCCCAGGCCAGGAAGGGGTCGCCCCCCCCTTTGGCAAAGGGAGGGGGCCTTCCGGGCAGCTTTGGATCTTGACTTCCCTCTCCCTCCCCCTGCCTCCTAGGTGACGCAAGGGTGCCACCTCTCCTGCCTGGATGCCACCGTGGAGGGCCAGGGATTCTGCGCTGCTCCTTCCTGGGATCCTGTCACAGGCTGGGGGACGCCCAACTTCCCAGCACTGCTTCGTGCCCTCTTGCCCTAAAGTGACTTCCATAGACGTGAGAGTGAGGGGGGGGGCGCCCCTTCTCCTGGAGGCAGAGGGGCAGCCCGGCTCTTCCTCTCCCCGCCCACCCCCACCCCCAGGGGTCTGGTGGGCAGGGTGTCCTGGGGCTTCCTTGTGTGCGTCTGGTGGAGCGAGGAGAGGACGGCTCTGGCCTCGCCTGCTTGGAGAGGTGCCTCTAGCTGGGCTGGGCTTCAGTTTTGCAGTCCTCGGGGTCAAAGGGACACCTTTCCACGCGGGGCATTCTGGAGCAGTGGGGGGGGCAGCGGTGGGAGTGGGGAATGGGACGAGGTGGGGGGGCACCAGCCACTCTCCCTGTTGAGCGAGCCAACGGCTTCCTGCTTTTGCAAACAGAACTTGTTGGAAGCGTTGCCTGGGTCTGCTTGGGACTCTCGCCCTTCCCTCTGGTCATTGTCCCCCCCTGCCCTGCCCCACCCCGCCCCACTGTCTTCCTGCTGTCTTCCGGCTGCCTTGCTTTCAGGCCCACATTCATTCTCAGGGGAGTGCTTGCCTGCCTGCCTGCCTGCCTGGGCCCTTCTGTTGGTCTGGAGGAATGGGCGACGGCACCAGTTGGGCGGTTGCTGCCAGGGGTATCCTGCTTTTAAGCAGCTTTGTGGCAGGCATGTGGCAGGTGTGTGTGTTTGCACACAGGCACGCTTCCTTCCTTGGGGAAAGAAGAGGGCCCTGGGGAAGGGACCAGCTACGGCCCGACTGTATAGGTTTTGCCTCTCTGCAGTGGACGGCCTCCAGTGGGCACTGCAGGAGAGCTGGTGTCTGTGCCACGTTGGTGGAAAGGGTGAGCTAACAAGGGGGAGGGGTGGGTGTGTATGGTGTCATGCCATGGCAGCAGTGGCACGGGGGGGGGGAGAAGCCTCGGGAGGCAGTGGCGAGGAGCAACGAAGCGTTGAGCTGCTGGAGTCCGCTATCTCGGGACGCCCTCTGTAAACCTCTCCTGGCTTGGCTGCCTTTGGGGCAACTGGGCTAGACGGGGTCACCAATAAAAGCTCTAGAGAATCGCTCCTTGTGCACTGTCGTGGTGTGGATTGCAGGCCTGTGAAACCTCATATGGAGGGAAACTAAAATATCAGAATACTCCGATAGATTGGAGGGCTCCTAATTGTAGAAGAAATAAAGAGAACAACGAATCCCCTTTTTGAGGAATATGTTAAAGTGTGGGGATAATTATAGATAGATAGACGCTGAGTCCATCCCCTCCTGGCAAATAAAAAGGGAAGATATGGAGGCAGTGACAGATTTTACTTTCTTGGGCTCCATGATCACTGCATATGGTGACAGCAGCCACGAAATTTAAAGACACCTGCTTCTTGGGAGGAAAGTGGTGACAAACCTAGATAGCATCTTAAAAAACAAGAGACCTCACCTTGCCGACAAAGGTCCACATAGTCAAAGCAATGAATGGAAGTGAGAGCTGGACCATAAAGAAGGCTGACCGCCAAAGAATTGATGCTTTCGAACTGTGGTGCTGGAGGAGACTCTTGAGAATCCCCTGGACTGCAAGGAGATCCAACCTATCCGTTCTGAAGGAAATCAACCCTGAGTGTTCACTGGAAGGACAGATCCTGAAGTTGAGGCTCCAATACTTTGACCATCTCATGAGAAGAGAAGACTCCCTGGATAAGACCCTGATGTTAGGAAAGTATGAAGGCAAGAGGAGAAGGAGATGATAGAGGACGAGATGGTTGAACAGGGTCATCGAAGCAACCAACATGAATTTGACCCAACTCCGGGAGGCAGTGGAAGACAGGAGGGCCTGGCGTGCTCTGGTCCATGGGGTCACGAAGAGTCGGACACGGCTTAATGACTAAACAACAACAAAGAAATTCAGTCCACCTGTCTTACCTTTGCAACAATTAGTGGAGGTTTAGAGTTTCCCCCAAATTCTAAAAATTAAAGAAGTATTAATTGAGAAAGGGTTAAATACAATAAGGAGATGGATGAAAAAGATTAAAGATGAAAATACTATAAAGGAAATTTTAGGGGAAGAAGGAGGAATATCATGGTTAAATATAGTGTAGCCATCCTTCAGTCTCAAGAAACTATGGTAACATGCTCTGAACAGAGGTCTTGGAACAGCATCTAGTGTGGCTGAGAAGGCCAATTTGAGAGTGACAATCCCTTCCACATTTAAGACAAACACAATCTGTCCCCTGTCCAGCTCCCTGATTTGGCTGGTTTCGGGAATGCCTCTTGGCCTTGGCCTGCTGGACAAGGGTCTCTTCAAATTGGGAGAGGCCATGATGTCTCCAGGCTGAACGCTCAGATATCAGGGTTACCCATCTACTGAGGTCCATTCCCAAGGACTTCACATCCTGCTTGTAGATCGCAGCTATGGTCTCCCTCTGGGGCGCTTTCCCTGCACTCATTCTCCATACAGGAGATCTTTTGGAATCTGACCATCAGCCATTCTCACAACATGCCCAAGCCAACATAGACGTCGCTGTTTCTGTAATTATATATGCAAAAATTCTAGCTCGTTCTAGGACTACTCTGTTTGGAACTTTGTCCTGCCAGGTGATACCAACAATGCGTCTAAAACAACACATATGGAATATGTTCAGCTTCCTCTCCTGCCATGCTCAAAGGGTCCAGGACTCACTGCATTCCAGGAGTGTACTCAGGACACAGGTTCTAGAGACCTGGATCTTGGTCTATGCCATCAGCTTCTTCTTAAGCCGTACTCTCTTTGTGAGTCTAGAGAACACAGTAGCCGCTTTGCCAATGCATTTATGCAGCTCAACATCTAGAGAGCCAAGGTCAACGAAATCATGAACAACCTCAAATTCTTGTGTAGAGATGGTAATGGAGGTGAGTCCACGCCCTGGCCCATGACTTGTCTTTTCTTCAGGCTGATTGTTAGTCCAAAATCTTCGCAGGCCTTACTAAAACGATTCATAAGTTGTTGGATCTCTTCAGCAGAATGGGCAACAACAGCTATATCATTGGCGAAGAGGAAGTCCCGCATGCATTTCTGCTGGACTTTGGTCTTCGCTATCCATTAAATCAGTGGTCCCCAACCTTGGGCCTCCAGATGTTCTTGGACTACAACTCCCAGAAGCCTTCACCACCACCTCTGCTGGCTAGGATTTCTGGGAGTTGAAGTCCAAGAACATCTGGAGGCCCAAGGTTGGGGACCACTGCAGTAAATAGCTTTTCATCTGATCTCATCTTAGATAAGACACCTTTTGTTGCAGTTCCAAAAGTGTGACAGCGAAGAAGATCCCAAAAAGGGTCGGTGGGAGGACACAGCCCTATTTCACTCCGCTTTGGATGTCAAAGGGATCTGATGTTGAGCCATCAAAAACTACAGTGCCCTTCATTTCCTCATGAAAGGAGGATGTTAAGGATGTTAAGGATCTGAGTTGGACATCCAGTCTTGGGAAGTACAGTGGTGCCCCGCATAGCGACGTTAATCCATTCCAGGATTAACGTCTCTATACAGAAACATCGTAAAGCGAAATAAAAAAGCCCATTGAAACGCATTAAAACCCGGTTAATGCGTTCCAATGGACTGAAAACTCACCGTTCAGCGAAGATCCTCCATAGGGACGGCCATTTTCTGTGCCTCTTAAGCGAGGCAAAACAGCGGGCGGCCATTTTGAAACCGCCGATCAGCTGTTAAGCATTGCTTTGTCAGGATCGGTTCCCCAAGCAGGGAACCGATCATGGCAAAGCACTGCCAGCTAGCCAGCCCGGCTTCCCCCCTCCTTGAGCCCAGCTCGGGTGGATGCGGGGGGAATCCCTCCTCCCCCCTATCCACCCGAAGCTGGCATTTTCACGCGGCTCGGGTGGAGGAGGGGGGAATCCCTCCTCCCCCCCATCCACCCGAAGCCGGTATTTTAGCCCAGCTCGGGTGGATGAGGGGGGAATCCCTCCTCCCCCCATCCACCCGAAGCCGGCAACCCGGGCTGGAGA